TTATAGCTTAATCTTTAAACACTGTAATGCTGATCCCAGGGACTTCTTTGTGATTACTTCCAGGTAGCTTACTCTTCTTTTGTTATAAATTTTGGACTGTACCATGCCACATTGAATTCTCCTATTGTGATTCTAGCCGTCCTGTGTGCTTTTGGTAACTCTGGGCTTTCACAGCCTGCTTTCTCTAGTAATTGTCTTCTACAGCTTGGGCATAGTTACTGGAATTCCTAAAATAGTGCTGTGCCAGACCTAATGCATATGAAATACGGGTTGTGAATATGCAGATCTATCACTGTTGTGAAAAGAGAGGATAGTGAAATTAGAGGGCTTATAAACCCTCCTTTTCTGGTGGAATGAGAACTAAGATTCTTGCTGGCTTCACTCACTCATTGAAGGATGCAAGATGACATCTGTCTGACACCTTTATGATGACGTTTTGTAGCAGAAGTAACACCAGGGATGGGGAAGATGTCCGAATTGGCTCAGTACCCACTGCTCTAATAAACTTACTCCTTCAGCTCTCCATGTGCAATTTAAAATTTTAATGTTGTTTAACATAACTGGTTGCACAAACATTCCTTGTCTTTAAAGGCCATAGGAAAGCTGTAGTGGGGAAAAATAGGTATTCTGTATGGTGTCCCATGAAAACTGTCAAAGATAAATAAGCAAGACCTATTTCTTTGCATAAAGGCTGTCTTGTGAATCAATTTATCACTCGCTGACTAGAAAAGGGTTTCAACTAGTGAAGGAATAATTAGCAGCGAGCTCTCTATAGCCCACCATGTAGTTTCCATTGCTTCAGAATGGGCTTATTGTTTCTTTTCTTCCCTAAGCATCCCTTAAGGCAGTGTTCTACAAAACAGCCCTCTGGTGTAAGTAGGTAAAGTGACAGTAGGAAGGCTCAGAAGTCTGTGGCTATTCATACTCTGGTTTTCTTACTGGTTGTGCAATGCAAGTGGCAAGTCTCGGTGCAGGCATGTTGACTTCCATAATCCATCTGTATCATAATGACATATATTTGGCCACAGTTAAGGAAGTTGAAATGCTGGGGTTTGAACCCCGAGCCCTGAATTAAGGTTGACATGTGGGTGATTCCCACAGCCCTTCATCCAGAGGGGTGAGTTTGCCTTAGAGCTTCCCCCCAGGGTGCGGCCGGCCCTGCAGGGAGAGCCAGAAGGGAAATGAGCCCCAGGGGTCCCGCAGGGAGCTGACAAAGGTCAGGGGTCTGCTTGGGGATAAAAGCTGGGACCACTGGCAGGAGGGGAGGAGTGTCTGTCTGTGAGCTATAGATGCACTTCACAGAGCTTCCTGGTTGGGGAGGGACCTCCTGACACTCCCTGGAACTGGGTCCTGGTCAGCGTGGACCTTTGTAAATGTGAGCTAGGAGGGTGAGAGCTGGCCATGTGGCTACCTTTACCCTATGTGCTTAATCTGTTGAATTGGCTGTTTCTCGTTCCATCTATGGGAAACCTTGGTTCCTTATTTGTTCTGCCTAGTGTCATTCATGGTAGGCCTATTAACTGACAAAACAAACGTTAAGAACAGAGTTTCCTTTCATTGCCCCTTGCTGTTATCTGAGGAAATCATGATCTCTGGCTATATCGTGCAACCTTGACACCACCTTAGGAGATCTGTTGTCACTTGTTTCTAAGACATGAATGAGATCTAGAGAAACTTAGTGACTCAAAGTTAAACACAAGGCAATTAATCAGTAGCCCAAGAATCGAATAAAGCCCAGATAGGCTAATGTCCCAGCTCAGGGGTGTCTATTTATCACTTCACAACAGTTACTGATCCTTTAAAGTCCAGAGTGGTAGGAGGTTGTGTGACTTTAAGTGGCTTTAAGTTAGAGGTTCAGTGATGCACCAATTGTGACTGTGGTTTCCCTGCACTGCCCCTTATCAGATAAACTGTACAAGGGTAGCTCAAATAATCTTGTAAGACATTCTTAACTAGAAACATCAGCTCCTGCTTCCTAGTACATGCTTTCATTTTCTTTAGTTAACCTGTAAAAGTGCAGAGAAAGGTGAAGGAAAACCACAAAGCTATCTTCTTTGTGTCCTGCTGAGCTGTAAGACTCAAGCCTGTTTGCTACCTTGTCCCCAGTACCAAAAGCATCTCTTCATAACTTGAAAAGCTGATTTCTGTAGTGGTGCAGTAGCTGTGTTTGTGTATGCAGCAATGCAAAAATACAGCTGTTCTTGACAGCAATAATGAGGCTGTGCAACGAAAAATAGTTGGGACGGGGTTGATCAATAGTCAGGTAGCTGATTATTTTTCAATATGCTTTGACTGAACTAACATGTGCCAGCTTCTGCATGGAGTGGCTTTAGTAAAGTCTTGTATTTTTTCTGGGTTTAAAGAGACATGGTTCTTCATCTCATTAATTGTAGATTCACCTCTTGCCATTTAATAGAACAAGAATTCAGAAAGAAATCTGGAAAAAGCATCGTATAGACAACTTTAGGTACTGTAGGTACTAAAGAAAGCTTGGGATACTACATAACTTCTGTGAACTGGTTTTATCCTGTAGATTGTTTTTTCTTCTGTCTCCCTTGATTCCCCACATCTGGACCCTGCTCAACAGTCTGAGGATACGTCTGGTGTTGATCACTCTTTACAGGCCTTCAAGTTGCATTTATATAATGTTGTGGGTTTTGTAATGAGGAGTGACTAACTTCTGTCGTATTTAAACTTAAAAGGATGTCATCTAGAATTCAGTTGATAAAACTGTTACTTTGTACTAAAATGTCCAGTAGCTTTACAGGAGTTCAAAAAGCTTTGGTTTCAGTTAACTTTTGCTTTTAAGTTGCTGTATTAAGAATTTCTACATAAAAGATTTCATTAGTTCCTGAACAGGGTCATAGGCAGGGACTTTAGCATTAGAAATACTAATAACTCCTCCAAGTCCTAGAGACTTCCACTGGACATCTCCAAGGTGTGCAGCTCTTATAAAACTTAGCGTGCATGACACGCATGCGAACGGGATCAGCTGTTTGCAGGCGTTGGTGGTGGCAGTACGAATAAACTGGTTAATCAGGCCTTGTAAGTGCAGCTTTTTTTGTAAATGAGGATGCTGAATGTCATGATACCATGCTCCCTGGCTCTCACTAAAGTAATATCCCGACGCTGGAAGCTGAATGAGTAGGAAGAAATGCCACAAAAACACATTTGGCAAGAAACGTTGCAAGGTGTTTGTTGTAAGCACATGGAGCACATCATGGTACTGTGACTTATTTGCAAGCATGGAAGACTGCAGGATTTGTGGCTGCTAGTGGTGTTAGATAACAGTATGTCAAACCCATATATAAGGAGTATTGGAGTGAGCAATTTTTTTCTAATCTCATAAGAATACTGAAAGTAAACTGAAGTTACTCAAGTCCCACATGTTCATCCAAACAATATTTACACAACGTAGTCAAAATGGATGTAGAGCTCTTCGATCCTTGGATAAATTTTAATGAGCTTCACTTTTCTACAACCAAGCTTTAAATAAAAGTATTTTATTAATGCTAGAAAGAAGGCTACCATGCCTTGAGCTAACTTACTATCTCTTTATGATGCCACAAAGAGCTAGGTCGTTGAAAAGACCCATAAACCATTTTACTGACTATTGTTGCTGAGTAAGATTTTTGGTATCCCACTCTTGCATAACTTTGGCCTTTTTCTCTTGCCTTTCCTCTGAGGTGGTTTGATCAGTAGTGTGTGAGGGTGACCCATGCAGATGTGCAATGCCTCTTTATGCTAGCCTACCCAAATCAGAAGTTGGAAATGTTAGTCAATGGGTAGTCTGAGGCTTCCTTTCATCAGTCAGGAATTGGAGTTTGAATTTGATTTTGTGGAATTCGTCCTATTCTGAAACATTGTGTCTATGAACTTTGATATTTAAACCTGCAATTCTTTATTCGTGACTGAATAATTATTCCCTAAGAGACACTTACTTGAAGTAAAAGCAAATGGAAATGCAAGCTGCTGGTGCTTCAAAATAGTTATTGGAATTTTTTTATAGTTTAGAGGAATAGGAAGGGCATGAGTTTTGTTGATTTTTTTCCCTCCCACAAAGGAAAAGGAAAAAAAAATTAAAAAAAAAAATTAAAAACCCAAACCAAACACAAGAAGGAATGAGGGAGTTAAAACTTCATGAGACTAGAAGAACACTTACTGCTTTAGCTAACTATGTGAAAAATGTATTTCATTAGACTTTGTATTGCTCTGCTCTAGGCATTTGATCATCCCTGCTCAAAGGGAATCACTGATAGGTAACACAATGGAAATAATGTTTTCTCCTTTTCCTATCCCTTCCTACAATAATCCTTTGCATTCGTGTTACAACTTTGTTGGTATGTTACAACTTTTTTTGGTGTGTTTTCCAAATGACTGGCTGCACTGTATTTCTAATATCCACATTTTTTTTTTAAATTTTAGGTTTTGTCTTCATTTTGCTGACTCAAACCACACATTCCAAGGAAAGGAGGGGAAGTGGACTAAAAATACTCAAGTGCCAGGAAAAAAGAGTAGCCAGTGAAAATTACTGTTACTAAATTTTAGACTGTTTACACATAGTGGGAGAAAAAGAACTTGCTGTTGATTCAAAGCTTATAAAATTACTTTTGCAGAATTTCCTCACTGAACTTCAAATAGGCTAAAACCCTTCAACTAGGCTTAAATTAGAAAATGGAAATATGACTTCTTGCGTCTGTCTTCTATCATCCTCCCCCAATTCAGAGTTTTGTTAGGGACAGGAAATCCTGAAGAAATTGCATGGCATCAACCAAACTTACAGTTGATGGTTATGGATGACATAAGAACTTCAGATTTATGTCTCTGCAATGACACCTAATTTAAGACAAAGGTTGAAAACTGCTTATCAGCTACTTTATCAGAACTTGTAGGAACTATTATGGTCATGCTTTCTCTCTGTAAGACTTGAACTCTGGGGTGATGTTGTCTGGAAGGCATGAGCAGATAAACCTACATTTTAGATTGGAAACAGAAATAATATGAGAATGCACAGAAGAGGCTTAGTAATTCAAGCCAGGACTCGTTGGCTATTAGTGGGCCTTGCTTTACTATTCAGTTTAGTCTTGCTTATGTATTTGCTAGAGTGTGCTCCACAAACAGATAGTAATGGATCTCTACCTGGTGTTGTAGGCGAGAACATGGGTAAGGAATACTATCAAGCTCTCTTGCAGGAACAAGAAGAGCATTATCAAAACCGAGCTACCAGTTTGAAACGTCAGATTGCCCAGTTAAAGCAAGAGCTTCAGGAAATGAGTGATAAATTGAAATCTCTACAGGAAAAAAAGAATCCCAAGGTCAATGGTATGAACTATCAGGGCACCAAAGAACAAGCATCCAATGATCTTCTAGAGTTTCTTCACTCCCAGATTGACAAAGCTGAGGTGAGCGTGGGAGCCAAACTGCCTAGTGAATATGGTGTCGTTCCCTTTGAAAGCTTTACATCCATGAAAGTGTTCCAGCTGGAGATGGGGCTTACTCGGCATCCGGAGGAGAAACCTGTTAGAAAGGATAAACGAGATGAATTGGTGGAAGTTATTGAGGCTGGCCTAGAAGTTATCAATAATCCAGATGAAGAAGATGGGCAAGATGAAGATGATGGAGTAGGACAAAGGCAGCTGTACACTGAAAATGATTTCCTAGAAGGTATGTTTGTTACATGCTTTGCATCCAATGAACATGATGTCACAACAGGCATTTAATGGTGTTTGTATTTTAGGGGGTTTGCCTACTTGAATATAGTCTTAACCAGTAATTACACGGTAAGAAGCTATTTCTGATGAGGAGAATATTATTGCTTTATTATGTTCTATTTTGCATAGGGAGCAAGAATTGCATTGCAGAAGGGCTCACCACAAGAAGCGCACAGGGGTAACTGTAACCACTTAAAATACTGAGGTGTTCATAACTGATTGTACTGAAGTCAGTGTGACACCGCTTGTCGTACTAAATAACTGAAAGACTTCAGTGAAACGGGTGGCAGTGGGATGGAGAAACCAATTATCTCTCTTGGTCAGCATCATTAAGCTTTTCTGTACGAAGCTACTGGGTTTCTTCTTCACTCGTCTCTGTGCCACTTTTAGTTACTATTCAGACCTTTGACTCTCCCAGAGCTGGCATACTCATACTGGACCAGGGAGAGCATGGCGAGACTAATGTGTTCTGATCAGCTGAAGAACTTGGTGTCCTGACTAAGACACTTTGTGTACACTAGTTATGGGGTTTGTTAAGCTTGTACATTTAAATACAGAACGTGTTATTATGAAAACAAAAATAGCAGCTATGCTTTCAACACTTAAGTAACACCCTTAAAAGATCCATTGCTGATAATTTCTACAGAAGTTGGCTTTCAAGGTACAGTGTAATACTGATGGAGATAAGTATTATCAAAAACTGCCCTAGTACCTCTTTTTGGTATTTACAGTATTAAACACAGTTCATGCTGCCATTTAAAAAAAAACAAAAACAAAAACAAACCCAAAAAAAACCACCACTCACCACAAAGTTGGACCATGTTATAAAAGCATTGCTGTAAAAGGGATTCTGGATCTCAGCAGTACTGATACCTGCACTATTAAGCACACACATGCTGGCGAAAGGTACCATTGGCCTTGAAATAGTCAGTTCTTTCAGTCTAAAATGATGTAATTGGTCTGCAGTGCACAAAGTCTCTGCCTTGTAACAGCTACTGTGTTTAAAGTTTAATGCAAGTCCTCTTCTTCATTCCAGAAGGTGGGACAGGGTTTAAAATCCACTCAACTTCAAGTATATTCAACTGTCTCAGCATAATGCAGCCAGTGCAGTGTTAGGCTCTTAGTACATTTTTTTCACTTAAATCCATAATATTTTGTTTGGAAGTAGTCATTCTTGCAATCTTTCAGTTGTTTTCTTTGTATTAACTGTGCAGCTGCTTATCTGTTATTGTTGTAAGTTATTGCTTATGCTGTATTTGATTTTTTTTTTACCAGTATTGAGATAGTTATAATTTCTCTTAGTGTACTGTTTTTAATGTCTGCAGACCTTCAAGAAAGCAAGGAGATGTAGGACTGCAGAACTGTACTCATACTTCTGCCTCTGTTCATGCCAGTAGACTGATAATTTTCTCTGGAAGTTGAACCAGTTTCCTTTGCTTGTAAAGGCAGTTTCTTCAAGTAGAGTTTACAGGAACCATATTAAAAAAATGTGCAGCTCTTAAAAGAATGCTTTTATGCTGTAGCTCATATGGGCGTGTTAGCAACTAGCCATAGTGATATAGAGGAGCATCTTCTTTCAGGCAGACTTTGTGGGTTGTGTGAGTATTCTGAGTTTATGCATATGTGAAAAATATTACTGCTGATTTAGACACTGGACCAGCAAAAAAAAGGCTGCTTCTGAATATTAACACTTTTTTTTTTTTTTCACCTTATGTCATTCTAAAACTTAGAGGTGAGAACTAGAACCAGCCCGCAGTGGTGTCTGCAGTCCTGCCCTGCAGCCCTGTGACTGGGCTCTAGCACACTACCACAGTTGTGGTGTTGTGCTTCCTTGCTTGATGGAATTGCAGATGGAAAGATGGAGTTGATAGCTCCCTTAAGCTATCATAAGCTGGTGGGTTCAAGTTTTGTGGTAGACTTGGTATATCTATTGAAGTCACAACAGTTCCTGTAAATGTCCTAAGACCACAACTAAATTGTTCCTGGACTAGCATTGCTCATTTAGAGAAAGTTTTTTCAGGTCTGCTAGAGTTAAAACAAAATTTGTTGCAAAATTCTCTATCCTCTTCAATTGCTAATTCAGTTATTCAATTATTTAGTAATAAGTGATTTAGGAATAAGACTATAGACTGTTATGTAATTTGAAATGAGACTGAGAAACTTGGTGTATGGATTACTTTTGGAGGGATGCAAAAGAAAAGGAAGATACTGCATTAGTTAGTACATAGCCATTATTTTAGGCTTAGTATAGATAAACTGATTTTGCTTTTGTTCTGACTTGCAGGAATTTTTTTTTCTCAAAACAAACACATCTCATCTACAAAGACTTACCCACAAAACTGCCACAAGTATAAGCTCAACTAGAAATATACATTTTTATGTTAGAAATGTTCCAGCTTTCTACCTCAGCAGGATAACTTTTCCTTTAGATTAATGTTTGGTTCTGGGAATTCAGCTGTTTTCCTACACGTACTAGACTAAACCTTGAGTCAGATAATCTTTTGTGCTAGGTACTTTAAGTTGTATTAGGAAATCCTTAGAGACTTTAGTGGCAGTTCAAGTTCAGAATCCTCCATCTTAAGGACAGTTTTACCTAATGGTATCTCTTCATCACTACTGAGTGTCTGAAGTTCTACAGCATTTACATTGTCTTTGTCCAGTCAGTGGAACATCACTGTCCTGATTTGTGAAAGCAGCAAGAATTTTTTTTCTTACTGTATATTAGGATTTAGCTATATTAGTGTTACTTGTGACAACAAAGTCTAATGATGTAATTAATCTGCATTTTCTATTTTATAAATACACATTTCCTTAATAAACTTTTTAGAAAAAAATACACTTAATTACACATACAATAATACAATAAACTTTTTAGAAAAAAATACACTTACAATAATACGTGGTAGTTTGAATCAACTGATTTGTATTCTTCTAATAGTGCATGGGCCCAAACCTTCAAAAATGCATGCTGATAGATTGTAACTTTCTCGTTCCTGCTCTGTTTTTTGCTCTGTGTGCTTAATTTAACTGTTTATGCATTTATTTTTTGTTTTGCTACAAGCTCAGCCTCTTGATCTCTACGTGAAGATATTCTGCCTTCTACCAGTGGTGCAAGGAAGATGTATCTGATAGGGATCAACCTGTTCAGATGTTATCCCAGCTGTTCTTGGGTTTTAGCATTTGGCGTTATTTTTCACAAGGCTCTGCTGATGAAGACAAAACTAGGAAGTTTTTCAACTCTGTAGGGTTCTGTTTGCTGCATTGTTACCTGTTTTGTTTGGTTGCAACCAAGAATGAAATTTCCACAGTTCCAATATTAATGGAATAAAACCCTGACCTTAAAGTCTTGTTCGGTGGTAGCTGTTTAAGAAATACTTTGAAGTTTTTTTCCTTAATATTTCTGTTAAAGCTAAGCATATATGAAACAGGGATATGCTGTTCTCCTTGGGTAAAGTATCCCTGGAGAGAATGGAAGTTGCAATAGTATGTATTTTCACAACTGAAGGGGTCTAGGACTAAAAGCAATTAATGTAGTTGCTGAATTGGACATTCTAAGATAGTCTTTGGATAAAATAGATTTCTGTGAGATCAGTGTCTGATAATACTGAGAAACAAAGGATAAACAAGATGGAGAGAGCATAATAGTATTACCTCTGTCCATCCCCATTCTTCAGAAGCCTGTGACATTAAGTTTTAGATAGCAATGAAGAACTCAGTGTGGAGCCTTCAGGTGTATCAGTACTTGACTATCAATGTAACCAGTTTGAGTTATATTTGTCTGCGTAACAAGTTTATTTTATGAAGAGGTTAAAAACTTTTCAATTGAATAGACGTTTAAAATTAAACTTTGGAAAACAGAGGCATTAGCATATTTTTCAGAAGCTAATTAGCAATTAGGTAATCTCTGATAAATGCCTTGTTACTGAATGTCTACCAGAATTTGAGTGCAGCTGTGAACTTCTCTTTCTGTGCTTCCAGTTGGAACGTGGCAAAGTCTAGAAACTATCTCTAGGCCTAAATCTCAAGGGGAGACTTCTCACCCAAATATGTGCTTGGAATGTAAAATTTGTTTATCCTAATGCTGCAAGCTCAAAGTTAAAACTCTTTCAGAGTCATCCGTAAAGTGGTGTGGACTGTTTGTGATTCAAACACCCTCTTTAGTATGTCTTGCCTAAGACCAGAAACTGGCCAGTGTCCTGGGAACTTCAACAGAGGATTTTAATACACAAATATAGGACATATGCCTTAAATTCTGTAAACTAACCATTTTCTTGTTAACTGTAAAACAAGTAATAGTATTCAGTGCAATAGAAGACGACCTTTTTTGCTTTGATGTAGTAATTGATATCCAGTGTTCTGAAGATTTAATTTGTTCCATGAGAAACAGAACTTGTACAAAGGGAGTAAATCTTCATGGAGCAGGAGTAACAGCTGTTAAGTTATTTCTGCTGCTTTTTACCTCTCTGCTTATAGAGGTCTATTTTGGATGATAGCCAGTGTATGCTAGTTGGAAGGTGAGGTAGCAGGTTTTATTACATGAGTCAGCCCCAAGAACTAAAAACCTGAACATACTGAGAAGTAGAACGTATGTGAGGTTTTTCTGGCTGTTCAGTTCTGGCTTCTGAGTGTAGAGGCTGTAATCCCATGGAAGTATTCAAATTGGTACATTACATATGGAGGTTAGCTCATAGCAAGAATAACTCAAGGAGCACATACTGTTTAAAGGAACTGTGGTGCTGGTAGGAAGTTAATTTTCAATAGTTTGGAATCTTATATTCCAGCAATTGAATGTTGACAAGGCACTACTCAAATTCAGACTTGCATATTAAGGTTTTTATAAAGTTACAGCAGTGTTTTTTTTTTTTTTTTTTAAAGTTACTTTAATGTAGAAATTTTTATTCTGTACTACAGCCTTCTGTTGTAGACTGACATTTAAGCTTTTCCTTTGATTAA